TAATTTATATTAACTTTTAATTATTAGTTATGTTAGTTGTTAGTAGAATTATATATATGTTAGTTATGTGTTTATAGTTTGATCTATAGTTTTTATGTATAAAAAAATTATATTAATTTTATATTAATTATTAATTTTATGTGTAAATGTATGACTTATAAATATGTATATTAAGTTGTAATTAATTAAATATATTTAATTATTTTAGAATAACATATGATTTAATGCGAATTAGCTCATTGAACCTATTGGTTCACCATCGGAGCCTAAATACTTAAATTCAAGTAGGTTAAGAGCTCTACTCCCATTTACTACATGAAAAATATTTTCTCATTCTTCAAATTCTCCTATGTTAAAAAAAACACATGATTCAATACTTTTAAACAAATAACATCAAATAATAAAAAAAAATTGTTAATAAGTTGGATTTAGAAAAAACAATATGAAAAAAAAATATTTTAAAATTATGTTATTTAACTAAACTCTAATTAAAATAAAGAGACTAAATTAGTATATTTTTAAGGTAAGAATGAAGACTATATTATTATTTTTTCATGATACATTATTAAATTATCTTAATTTTGAAGTGTTTTTCACTTTTTTTTACAAGTCTAATAAATAAATATTAATTTTATATAAAATATAATTTTTTTATATGATTATAGTTATATTAATAAACTTTAAATTAGAATATCAAATTTAAATATTGAATTGATAAAATATAAATGATACAAAAAATCACAACTAACGCAAAATCTTTTTTCATACCCAAATAAAATTATTTATCTTAAGAATTAATTACAAAAAAAAATGATCATTTTATCTAATTCTTAAATATTTTCTTTAAATTTAAAATAATTCCTATATATAATTCAAACATCAAAAACAAAATTTTGCACTAATTAATAATTAAAAAGTAATACACTATATTAAACATTTTTCAAAAGCTTATGAGGGCAGCTGTTCCCCCTTCTCCTATGGTAGCTCCGTCCCTGGACGTGATCTATATAAAAATTCCAATTACAATGCACAATTACAAGTAATCATGAAATACGAACCTTTTCCTACTTAAGTTTGTTAAATTTCGCAATCCTGACGTAATAAAAACGTTTAACTTTCTAGTACCTAAAGCAGCAAGTGAATGAAATAGCATAAACACTTTCGTTAGATTTTGATTTTATTATAACTAATAACTAAGGATAATTAATTTGATTATCAATTAATGCAGCATGGAGTATAGTCCATGGATGTTGAAATTACCTAGATGACTAGGGTTTACTTGCTCATTTTCCTTTTGTCTTGTGCAAATTCACAATGAGAAGCAAGAGTCCACGGATAACTTGTCTTTGCATTCTTTTTGCCTCCTCCCTTTTCTTTTAGAGCTTAATATCCATTTATATCTATTGTTGGCACACTCCGAATATTGATACAATAATTGGGATTCTTTGGCTCAATAAGGATAGAGTTGCATAGCAAATGTAATGGGGTTCTCATATTCTTTGTAAAATTATTTCATTAGAGAATAATGAATCATTGATAGTTATGGAGAATTTTTAATAGTGATTGGTACACATTCCAGTTTAACACACTACATGACACATTCATTAAAAATCATTATTTTTTAGTCTAAAATTAAAAACAAATAAGTTTAATGATACAATCATGCACACATGATACAAGAACCGATTGAATTAATTGTATTTATATTATATTTTTAATTATTAAACCGAGAGTGTGCCAAAAAATGTGTTGAACCGAGGGTGTACCATTTTTAGAGCTTAATATCCATTTACATCTATTGTTGGTACACTCCAAATATTGATACAATAATTGGGATTCTTTGGCTCAATAAGGATAGAGTTGCATAGCAAATGTAATGGGGTTCTTTGTAAAATCATTTCATTAGAGAATAATGAATCATTGATAGTCATGGAGAATTTTTATAAGGACAATGATTGGTACACATTCCGATTCAACATACTGCATGATATATTCATTAAAAAATTATTATTTTTTAGTCTGAAATTAAAGATAGACAAGTTTAATAATACAATCATGCACACAGAATACAGGAACTGATTGAATTAATTGTATTTATATTATATTTTTAATGACTAAACCGAGAGTGTATTAAAAAATGTATTAAACCAAGGGTGTACCAATTATTTTCTTTTTTGGAATTAAATTTTATAACAAATTTATGGTATTCATTGTTCATAATAAAATCTCATATAGCTAGATGTGTAAATCAATGGCTAAAACAATGTTATCTCAAAATTCTATCTTAAAATTTTGATTCTAAGAATCATTACTTTAAAATAATTGTAAAGTAGCCTGGCTGAGCATATACAGGACAGTAATTAAGGCCAAATCACTTTGCCTAGATAATTAAATTCCTTCTTAAGTATTATTCACTTTCAATATTTCTACAAGTCATTATTTATTTTCATTCAATTTATGGTATCCACTACATATCCTATTATGCAGAGAAGAGAATTTATGACACTGAATTAATAGTTTTCTTAATTCTTGAATTAAAATCCTATCATGTAATGTTATAATTATAATATTATATAATTATAAATAAAAAAAATACATATCAGCTCTGACTCTTAAAAAAATAGAGTTCTAGTCTTAAATTTCATCATTTTTTTAATTAAAATTCAATTTTAAATTTTAAATTTTATCTTATTAAATATCAATATTTAGATTTAGAAATTAATTGAATTTTTAAATTTTAAATTAAGATTTTAGTTTATAAATATAGATTAAGACTCTAATTTTTTTATAGTCAAGACTGATATGCATTAATCTCATTACAAATTTACGATCATAATATGTTATTAAATAAGTAATGCATATAATATAAAAGATCACTTTAAGATTATAAATTTTATGACTATGTCATTTTTGTACTTTAAAACATGGTTAAATTGAATGATAGCGATTCATACACATTCAATTCAACATAATGTACAATATATTTATTAAAAATTATTATTTTTTATCTAAAACTAAAAAGAAACAAGTTCAAAATATAATTATGAATATAAGATACAATAATTAATTAAATTAATTGTATTTATATTATATTTTTAATAATTGAATAAAAAATATGTCAAAAAATATGTTAAATCATTTGTATATTAATAGTTTTCCTAAATAGAAACACGCAAACTATAAGAGATAGATTGGATTTTTTCTTCTTCTTCTTTTTTTTTTTTTTGTGTGTGTGGAAAGAGATAGATCGGAATTTGCAACTTGGAAGATTGGAATTTAAGATAAGAGAAAGAATGGAATTTGCAACTTGGAAGTGACTTGTCCAGGACGTCCAACTCGCTGATGTTATTATTATATTTTTAATTATTAATAGTATATTTTTTATTTTAATTAATTATTTTATTTTTTAATTTAAGTAAAAAACAAAAAAATATAAAATTTTATAAAAAATATATAATATAAAAATATAATAACCAATTACTTTAAAAAAAAGTGACATTAATTATTTAAGATATTACAACAAGCTCACCCTTCTTTATTGTAAAGATGACAACATCTTTGTAGTTTGGAAGTACATTGTTGACGGCCCATGTCTCGGCCTAATTTTGAAATGCCTAAATGGGCCATAAATCCATTTCTCCCTTTTTAAGCTTTCAAAAGAAAAACGTGTCGTGGTCCGCCCATTAAAAGGACAAAGGTTAGACCCAGACCCGTGGACTTGTGCTTGGAGTTAGACCCAGACCCAACGACGTATCTCCTGGCTATCACACATGCATCTCTGCAACTCACGTGCCATAACCAACCATGTGAAAAAAGGACAAAGTTTGTGTCCAGATGGGATATGCAGACACATATATAGTGTCAAACTAGGTTTTTGACGTTAAGAGTTGTTCATCGCATCATTGCACGACAAAGATATTCTAAGGATTCTAATTCTAAATACCACCACTTTATCCTAAATGGATGCTTCTATTAACTTACACTTTCATTTCTGTCTCTCATGGACTTTCTTCTGTGTCTTGGATATATAATTAATAAGTACTGCATGCATCAAAATATATACAGGTACAGCCATATACATTTATTCAAGAAAAAGCAAATACCAAAGGTCAAACTTTATGGAAAACTTTACTTTGTATGGGGATTTTGCGTAAAGGGACAATAAAGATTATGGGTTTAGTGGGGAAAATTGCTTAGCCTAGCAACCAGTCACAAGAGGAAAGAGAGATTGGAATTAGTGAAAAAGAAAGAAGGGATCCAAAGAGAGTTATTGGGGGAAATTGAACAGATACTTAAAGTAAGAAAAGGCAAAGGTTTCTGGTCCCCTTGAGGGAGATGATGAAACAAGTGTAGAAGCCCAGCTCGATATAGAAATATTTCTAGTCAGTTTTTTCTTACATTTTGCTTTCATAAAAAAACTCACCATAATATTTTTTTTTTGTTCACCCTAATTTCAAACTCAGGAATCTACCCTGACAGTCCATCCAAGCGAGATTTAAAAAAAAAAATTACAGAATAATAATAGAGACAACAATAAATACTAACTTCCCTTTTTTTTTAAGATAATGATGACATAACTAAGGAGTTTTAAGGAGCTAATGTTGGTTCCTTTTTTAAATTTTTTTTTTTTTTATAGAAAAGTGTTTTTCATGTGGGTTTATAAATATAAAAGGGGTGTAAAAATATTTATGAAAAAACTTAGTTATAAATATCATTAATGAACCTTTTTTTTTTTTGGTAAATTGATTTTTTCCATATATAGGTTTTGAAATGAATTTAAAGCATTCAAAGCATGGTTTGCAGCACCACTGTAGCAAGCGACACAATAATGGCCTAATCAGGGAGAAGTAAACGTCCTAGAAATTGTCAATGAACCTCTGAAACTTACCTAGTTTTTTTTCTCGTCTCGCATTGGTGCAAGAACAAAACTGGAACATACAGTGCTACAGAAACCAGAGTCAATAAATGAGAAGAAGAAAATAGTCACGTCATCAAATCAAGTAAAAGATTGGTATTTTGAGAATTTGAAAAAACTTGGTCCGATCTTTGGTCTAACCCAAAACCCACTTTCATTCATGGGTACAACATAATAATACCGGCTCCGGTAGCAGGGCTAATACTAGCTAAAATTATGTACATCAACTCTCACATACTTTACGGCCAGAAAAAAAAAATTAATTAATAAAAAACTCACACATACTTTTTTCATCAGACTCTAAGAAATAACAAGAGAATCAAACAAAATATGAAAAAGAGAAGAAGCTAAGACTGGATAGATCGTGAGAAAACTAACATGTGGAAGGAGGCATGAGATTCAACCCTAGATCATCCTTTTCCAAAACTAAGCGGGTCTTGTTAGTCTCCATGTTTCCAGGACCAGAAGCGTACTCAGGGTGCAATCTCTTCTTTGATTGTAAAGGAAAGCCAAAGAGCTTGGTTTTGGTTGTGGGTTCTTCCACAATTGTGATGGAGCTCTGTGATGTATTGGTGGGAGAATTCAAAACCTGAATTTGAGGACCTTGCTTAGGGCCGTAACACCCAAAAAGTTGGTTCAAGGGCTTTTGCATCAATGGAGTGTTGGTATTAACTAGAGTGGTGGTTGAGGGAGTGTTGCAAAGAAGCAAAGAAGAAGGGTAGGATGAGTTGCTGGGTGGTACAGGCTTAACGTGGTTTTGCACAAAGTAGATAATATCATTGTATAGCTTTCTCATGTGTACAAGCTCGGACATGAGGATGTTGTTGCTTCTCCTCAGCCTCTCATTGTCTTCCGATAACGCCGTGACTGAGGCGGTGCAGCCGGTGACTCCGCCAATGACTGAGACTCCTGAGTTTGGGGAGGAGAGTGGGGGGGAGTCACACCAGGTTGCTTGTTCGTCCGAGTCCGCTGGGGAGATACTGACTCGGCTTGGAAACGGGAAGAAACTCGGGACATTAACGAGTGGAGTATGTGGATACTGTGGATGGTGGTGGTGGTGGTTTATGGCGACCTGTTGCTGTGCAGTTTTCCTTCTATGGATCTCACAAAGCAAATGCTTCTCCCCCTTCTTGAAGAACTCGTTTGCAAATTCCCATCTGTCAGGTACAATCTTCCTAAAACCCTAAACACATAATTAAAAACTACTCCCATCAGAAAAATTAAAAGAGAAAAGGCAACCTTTCTAATTGAATAATTATTAGGCACATAGACATACATAGGTGTTGAGTTGTCGGACAAAACTGGAGAAGTTGTTGTGCTTGAAGTAGTTGGGGAGGAGATCACGAGCAAACTCCGGTGGTCTCCAGACTACAAAAGTGGTGTCGTCTTCGCCCCAAGAAACGATGTGGTCGGTGGTGGGATCGTCGACCAGTTGGTAGGTTTTGGTCAGGAACGGTGCCGGAACTGATTTGTGGGAGTCTAGAGAAAGCAATACTCCCTCACAGCTGTCTAGCATGAGAGCCATGGGAGATCAAAGAGGAGACTGAGAGGAACTAGAGATATGGGTAAGGAAGAAACGGTGAATGTGAGTTGGCATAAAAATGATGGAAAAAGGAGTTTACTGCAATCGTACATGTCTGTATGGGGTATAAAAGTCTACCTAACCTATTAACTCGAGTTTGTCTATTTTAAAATAGGTTGCTTGGGGATACCCATTTTAGTTCTATCCATTTAACCCATGATTTTGTTGTCGGTTACTCCAATGGTTCAGTTTAGTAGCAAATGTCAGTCTGTAGCATTTTTTCTTTCTTTTTTTTTTTTAAATAGTTTTACAATTTTAAGAATGAGAAACTCGAATTTCAATCTTTAAACTAAATGATGCACTTTTTAAGACTGTTTATAATTGTTGAGAGTAAAGTCCCAAGTGTGTTAGTTTGTGACATGTTGATTGTGTCTAATGTTTAAATTTTTATGTTTAATATTTAAAAAAATTAATTTTTTAATACATCAAATTAATGTAATAATGTATTTTTAAAATTATTTTAAAAAATTAATATTAAATAGAACATTAAAAAAAATCTTAAAATATATGAAAATTTATTTAGTTTGTGACATGTTGATTGTGTCTAATGTTTAAATTTTTATGTTTAATATTTAAGAAAAATAATTTTTTAATACATCAAATTAATGTAATAATGTATTTTTAAAATTATTTTAAAAAATTAATATCAAAATTCGCAAAAGCTAGCTCACACTATTCAAATAAAAAAATTAATAATTTTGTTACCCAAACACCGGAATG